GCTAGAAAAAGCGTGTGATCAATTGGCCAATGAGGTGCACTGAACGGAATGGTATCCGACCCCAACGCATCTTTCTCAATTGCCACATTAGCAGGATACAAACACAATGCATTCGTTTGCTACTTTGTTTACAGGCGAGTGACAGAGTTGGAGTAGGTAGTGGTCGCGAAATAGACTTACGTGAGCACAGCGGTCACATCGTTCGATCGATAACGCACCGCAGGCGAATCGGAATGAGAATCACTGGTCGGAGAAAGGAGACTTTTTCGGATCAATTCAGCGCGAATAAGAGACGTGTCATTGTATTTGGATAGACCTGGTCGTGCTTCCAAGGCAGTGTTGTTGGACAATTTTCGTTCTAGTAGTTTTGATTCCTGTATGTAAATAATTTAGGGAAAAAAATAAGTCCAAATTCCGAATCAGAACTGAAACTTTCTCAACGTGTCCATCTTCAATAAACGTCAATTCGAATCGTATTGATAATTACAGGTGAACTCCAAAAGCCACTTACAATCAGATGTGGGCTATACAAAGACATCTGCGAAAAGAGTCATATTGCACTGACAACGAGAGAACTACCTTGAATTGGTAATGTTCAGAGAGAAACGGATTGGATAAATTCGAAAAACAACAACAACAACCAAGGTGTAGTAATTTTATCCCTTTTTTAAATTCTCCTCTTACATCCAAAACTTAAGAATCACCTTGCATTATTTTCATATTTAGGTATGCCGATGACATAACAGTTGATGGTGTATCCAACAACAATAACAACAATCTTTCAATCTACCCACTTCCGTCATCCACTTCTGAATGATCCGATGATGTTTCCCTTTCTTTAGACCCAAATCAATGCATTGAAGTTTTGTTTTCCATTAACAGTAGGGATCTTCTGTTCCCAACATCATGATCAACGAATTAAACATTGAAAGGTTACAGCACTTTAAATGCCTAAGACGTTTTCTGTTTGCTGGCCTCACATGACCCTACCAAGTACAAAAAAACAACTCCTAATATGGGAAAGCTAACGTTTTACATTTCACGCATGCTGTATCTGAAAGTGTTCAAATTTATTTTCTCTAGGGTTGTACGCCATTGGACCTACTGCTCCCCCCTTATTTTCCTCGGTCTATTTTCTAAGAATTTCATATTGATCACACGTTCTCTGAGCAGGAGCAGGAGCTGTCCCTTACATAAAGTGCTTTCTTGAACAACAACAACAATGCATGAAAAACGTATGCAGTTGGTGTAAAACCTCGTGAATAAACAACATGCATTCCAAAAGTTAAGAAATGCAACTACGGGCCTTCTCTTTTATAAATAATCTCTTATGAGTTGTTTAAAACCACTCAGATATTTTGCTTAAACAAAAGCCTATAACTTATAAGTTTCTTCCGAGCGTCGGACAGCGCACATCCTCCACTTGATCTTGCAGCGATCAAAGCACCTTAACTGTGAAATTTTAAGTATCGAATGACCACGATGTTGATTCGGTCACGACTGCGAGTTTTTCGTTTTGAAGATCAGGAACATTGAATTAAGGTCATTTTCACAGTCAGCTGACTGCCGTATTGCGAATTGCTCAGCCCCCAGACAGCTGGGTTACGTAATCCGACTGGGATTACTTTTCATCCGGATAGCAACTTCGAATACAGATCACCTGTTAAAAACGGCTGGAAGTTCCAGTTCGGTCGGCTGTGTTTCGTTTTGATCCAAGGCTTTGCGATCGATGACCCTAGGATTTTGATAGGGAAAGCCGCAGTGCTTGTGTGTTGTAACATGGCATTTTTCAGTCTGATTTGTTTCATTGGTTGGAGCGTTGCTGCAGCTCAAGGTGAACTATTGCACATGTGGGAAACAACGTGGAATCTGTTCACCACACCCTCCATACGTTTTCACTCACAAATCTGTCTGTAGTCACCTCTCTCACTCAGTGTCAATGTCTTGACCCGTGCGTATTATCGATCACCAGACATGCACTTTTCGTTCGCCACGAATGAATACATCTCTTTACTCGCCCATTAAGCCTATTTGTTTCCCCCGTTTTTTCGTGACCCTTGTTCCTGGCCGTGTCCTCTGATTATCCTATCGGTTGCTTAATGCTGTCCGGATTGGTCCTCTGTTTCACCCATGCTTCGCACTGTCCCATGTATACATGTGCGTTTTGACATTGTTTCAAATTATCGCTAGTTCGCTTGACAGAGTGCTGAACTCCCTCGTTTGCACTTTGATTCTCGATTGGCGTTGTTCATTTCGCCTGTTCATGTATATCCCCTGGGAACGCCATGATTTGAGATGTGTTGCTTATGTCATTGTAACACTTAATATATACAGTACTGCATTATTGTTCGCTATTGTGTTTGGAGTCGAATAAACCTGTAGAACATTTAGGCTTGGCTTCTGAGGTTGCGCGTCACTCAACGTTGGCCGAGATACTCGTTTGGATTTAACACAGAATGTGACCGGTCACGGTAATCTACATTGAATTTAGGGTTGTACTAAATGCGCGATAGAAACCGGTAAACGTAGTGGCAATATCTTTCTGCACTGATGTTCCCACTGTGCTGTCCAACGCCGAATCGGTAAGCACCTCTCAGATATGGTGTTCTACTGTAGTGGTCATTATTCAAAAGCATACATCCCCTCCTTCAGAATTTCTGTCTTATAGTTTTGTGAATAAATTTACGGTGATCCAGGTAAATACATTGAAAACCGAAATGAGTTGCAAGAGAATATGAACCGGACAGTAGACTGTAGATTGATCATGTTATTATTCGAGGAAGTGAGAACCAGACTGACATAATGCTCATTTAAGGCTCGACCACTTGGTCAGATAGTGCTGTATCAGATGATTATAATACCATTAGTCACTGTGACCGGCGTGCTTTGCGCCCTATGGTCCTAGGTTCGATCCCCTCCACCGCCACCCAGCTTTGGTGTCGTTCGGTTCCATACCACACCTAACCTCGAGGGGCCTTACGTGTTTCGCCATTCCAAGTCTCAGGTTAGCGGTTTGCATGACTGAACAATTGATCCTCGTGACTATAGCGCTTTCCCTGCCGTTCATCACATTAGGGGTGCAGTAAAAAGAAATAAACTCACCTCCGTCGTTCTGGGACCAAATCGTTCCCGATCTGAAGAGGTTTGACAAAGACTAGAGCTACGACGTGGAGGATTTTCCGGTGGTTTCGTGCCAAGTCGAGATTGGTGTCGTAGTCGACTGATAGACGATGGAGTGCATGGGTGTAACCCGGTAGGGGACAGATCGCTTAGGATACTTTCTGTGACGTCCAACGTTTGTGGTCGTGACTGACTGGATGTTTGTAAGGGACCACCAGTTACGGATAATAATCGGACCAGTGTTTCCAACTGTAACATCAGTTCAGTTCGATTGCGCTACGGGAGAAAAATGAAATGATACAGAATTGTAATCACTATCCCCGGTTCAACACGGGGGAATTGCAATTAGAGTTTCAGTTGCTTAGGCATCGTTGTGTTTACCAAACAAGGATTCAGAACATTACCACCGATCAAGTTCAGTGACCAATTTTATCATCAAATATCTGAATTAAACCGTTCGAAAACTGAACTACCAAGATACATTTACAGTTATCAGTAAACAGAAAAAAACTTGTTTCCAGGCAAACAATCCACTATAACACCAAGTAAATAAGTGGATTACCTTACCGAATATCGGTATTTGACAGAAATTCTTTCATTACAGATACACGCGGTGAACTATGTGATTATATTGCGTTCTTACACTTTTCTGTATTCAAAACGTATGCCAATACAATACAAGTATTGTTAATACCAGAGAATTAGGTCTATGCCTGTCTATTGGGCGGAATATGGCCGCGTTGCTCTGGCTAAAGCCGGCCAACGTTTAGGGGGATCCACAACCGCGGTCTTCGTTTAGCCAAAGCCAGACCACAAGCCCCTACCCGCTTTTAGACGAGGTCAAACTTTCAAGATTCCGAATGCACATCTATGCTCGATCGAGCCGGTGAGCACTGCCAAAAAATTAGGACTGTGATTCGTGCATGTCTTGTTTAGTCTGGAAATCAGTAGTTTTGCCAACTCTTCTAAGTAAACTGCCAGTGGTTCACCAACCCAGTTATAGCTCTGGTCTTTAGCTTTTCGTTCTCTTTTCTCTACGACGGAATGGATCCCACTTGTTCAGAACTGCAGTGTCGTCCCCCCCCCCTCTTAGAGCAAACATGATCGGGACCGGTCAAATGTTTCATGCCACGAAATATTTTGCACTTGTGAGTATGTGGTGATCCGGGCCTGCGAGATGACGCGTACCTTGGAGCGACGCGCCACAGTTTTTGGACAACTACTACCAATCAAACTGCACGGGTGACGTCAACAACGCGCGTACGTGTCACTGC